GGCAATAAATAAGGAATGGCAGGGCCACTCAACACCAGTGAGATAAAACTCAGGCACCTAGTTTTTCCTTAGATAGGCATGCAGTACCCTTCATCTTTAGTAGTAGTTAACTGTGTTTAAGGAAGGTTATTACCTGGAGCAATTAAGTGTGAAGCATCAAGTCCCTGTTTAGTTATGAGGTGGATTATCACTACTATTGGTGATGAAGAGGCTAGATTAAAAAGATGGTGGGCTCTCAGGAAGTACAAAGAAGAAAATGACTTTCCAATCCTAGGTCCCAGATCCACTTAACAAATGTATTCTGCCTTTTAAAAATATTTGCTTCAAGCAGAAAGCCTCAATATATACTATGGAAATGACTCTTAGCTTATAATTAGTTTGGGTTATACGTATCACTCAGAAATTTAAAAAGTCTTGTCATTAGATATTCATTTATGTGGTTCAATAAGTAAAGACATCAGATTGGATCAATAAAAGATAATAGCATATGATAACCAAACAGAAGTAGGTTATTGGAGTTCAAGCCTCTGTTTGGACTTGTCAGTAACAAAAACTGATGAAAGATCATTTGTTTGCATATTAAATTATGCATTAAAGAATACACACAAACAGCAGTCCCTATTTTATTTCAAACTGAACTTCATACACTTTTGGAACTGGTTTAGAGCAAGTACTTCTCAAACAGGCAAATCTTATTTTCTAAAGTGGTGTCTTCAATTATCTGTCTTTGGTCAACTGATAAAAAGGTAGTTTTTGAGAAGAAATTATGTGTGTGTGTGTGTGTGTGTGTGACTCAGGAAAGTACATGGAAAATATGATATAATATGGAATAGAATTAAACGTGGAAAAGGGAGTTATGAAAGTAGAGTATTACAACTAAAATTTACAGAATAGTACTAAATATGTAGTAAGAAGAATATATTATACTACTTTATTCCCAGGTAATTTTCTTAGTTATTTTTACATTAAAAATAAGCCTTTTTAATGAGTCAAAGATATGGAAATTTGATGAATCAATCTGTTTTTCCTCTTCCTAAAAAATAAAATATAAATCTGGGGATGATATACTTGGGGTGTCACCTTCATTCATACATGCACCTATAACTCTTGACCACCATTGTTATTTAAGACAAACAGGTTCATAACTTAAACAGTACTCTTCACTTTGAAGCAACATTATACCATGGCCATATTAAGTTTAGACTGGCAAACCTGGTAGTGCCTGGAACTGTAAAAAAGCAACGGGTGTATGATAAAAAAGCAACGGGTCTATGATCACAGACAGTAACTTCAACATAATATTAAATTAGAATTATTTTGCAATTTGACTATATTTATAGTGATTATCACATAGCCAGGATAATTTTGCAAAGCAAAGTACTGATATATGTACACCAAAGATAAAAATTAAAAGAGGTGGTTTAATGTTAAAATGTTTTTGAGATATTTGATGATACAGTTAAAATAATGATGAACATTAAAATGAAAAAAAGCAAAGCCAGGCTGAGAATGATTATGTCTTAAAAATCTACAAGATGCTGGATTGGAGCGCTTATAATTACATAAAAAAATCTTTGTTGCCATGAGATCTTTTTAGCAAAAATGAAGAGAAGCATTAGACAACATATACATAAGTACTAAAAGGCTATTTTCTCTGGAGCAAAATCAAGGGTGAACTATTATTGGGGAAATAATGAAATTGACACTAAATTCTGTGATCATTTCAAATTCTTTTACATTTAAAGTATGTGTTTTCCCTACATGCATGTCTGTGTGCCTGGTGTGTGCCTGGTGCCAGTGGAGGCCAAGAGAGGGCACTAGATCCCCTGAACCGAAGTTACAGATGGTTGTGAGCTACCATGTAAGTGCTGGGAATTGAACCCAAGCCTAGGCCTTTGGAAGAGGAGTGCTCTTAAAAGTGTGCTTCCCCCCCCCCAAAAAAAACCTTTTGAATACTGTTTTCTACAGAGCTGAAGGTCCCTTGATGTGTTATCTGAATAGTTACAAGTAAAAGCCTTGACTTTGTTAAATTTTAGGCATTTTGATATAATCTTTTAGTTAATTTATATAAATCTTTGTACTTTTCATTTACTCAAGCTTGTTGCTGTGTGATGTATGGTATATTTTAGCACCGGATTTTCCATAAGCATTAAAGCCAGAGGCACAAAGAAACTTTAATATTGATTTCCTAATTTTTAACCCAGATCTTTCCATTGTTTAGTTTTGCTGTTTGGAATCTCATGTCTAATTGCTATCATTTTAATATTTAAACCAATAACTTATAACAACATAAAATTTATGTAAGTAAATTAACATTGTCACTTTACATTATAAGGTATCTAAATATCATCTTTAAAATGTCCACTACCAATTTCTATATTTTGTATTTTATACTACAGCTTTCTTAGACATTTTTGTCTAACAACAACAGAGGAAAGTGATGTAAACTTGTATGTGATATGTAATGGAAAGACATCTATAAAAATCTTCATGAAGAAAAAAATGAGGTTTGAAAAATGACAGTTCATTGAAAAGATTTTCTTGCTTGTCATTTTATTCATCTTTTATTTTACATACCAACCACTTTCCCCTCCCTCCTCTCCTCCTGTTCCCTCCCCGCCTCCCTTCTTACCACCCTTCTCCCCATTCCATTCCTCCTCTGTCTCCATTCAGATGGGATAAGGCCTCCCCTGGCAATCAACAAAGCATGGCATATCAAGTTGAGGGAAGACCAATTTCCCTCTGCATCAAGGCTGAACAAAGCATCCCACATAGGGAGTAGGTCCCAAAGAGCCAGCTCATTGCATCAGAGACATGTCCTGGTTCCACTGCTAGGGCACCACAAAAGGGCAAGCTACACAATTGTCACCCAGATGTAGAGGGCCTAGGTTGGTCCCATGCCAGCACCCAAGCTGTCCTTCCAGAGTCTGTGAGCTCCCACAAGCTCATGTCAGGTGTCTGTGAGTCCCCCCCCCCCACAATCAAGAGGAAACAGATGAGATGTCCTGGGTAAACTGGGGGTGGTATGGGGGGAGTAGAGTGGAGAGTATGGGGGATGGGAACATGAGTGATCAGTTTGGTAAAGTTGGGGGTAGGATGGAGTAATGAAAAATATATCTTGATAGAGAGTGGCAATATGGGGTTAGGGAGAAGCCTGGTGTCAGGAAAACACCCAGGAATCCACAAGGATGACTTCAGCCAAGATTTCTAGCAATAGTGGCGAGAGATCCTGAACTGGCCTTCGCCTGTAATCATATTGGTGACTACTCTTATTGTTATCATAGCACCTTCATGCAGTACCTGATGAAAGCAGATGCTGAGAACCTTAGCCAAGCACTGGGTGGAGCTCTGTGGGTCCAGCTGAAGAGAGAGTGGAGGGATTATATGAAAAGTTACTTTTTTTTGGAAACTATTTTTAAAGTTATATCTGGTACTTATAGATCTTAAAGCTGATTTGGATGACAACAGGATGAAAAAGAAATTTGAAACACAGTAGAAATGATAAATGCTTAATATAACTGAACCAAGTTGCCACAGAAAAAAGAAAGCACTAGAACAACTTAACTTGTGTGGTTAAATGTAAGTAGTTGAATCAATATTGTCCCATGGGTAGGATGTGAACAGTTTAAAAAACAGAAGAAGAATGAAAAGTGTGTATGGTCAAGGGAGGATGGAGGTGATGGCAAAATAAGGAAGTATCAAATGGTTCTATTTGACTAAGCAAGGATGCACACAGAGAGCCCTGTGACCAAGACTGATGACAGACCTTCCAACATTAGGACACATGGCTTCTAGTTTATAGATGATGATCTTATTAATGTAGAAAACAATGTACCACTGTAGGAACCAAACACTATAAAGCAGTGGTTTTCTACCTGTGGTTTGATACTCCTTTGGGGTTGAATGACCTTTTCACAGGGGTTGACTAAGATCTTCAGAAAACAGGCATTTACAATATTATTTATAACAGTATCAAAATTACAGTTATGAAGTAGCAACAAAAATAATTCTATGGATGGGGGGTCACCACAACATGAGGACCTGTATTAAAGGATCACAGCTTTAGTAAGGTGGAGAACCACTGCTACAAAGGTCACAACACAGCAGTGAAATTCACTTGAAGAGTAAAAGAGCAAGGACCCAACTCAAAAGAAGTTGGGAGAAGACACAATTTTAAAAGGGGAGATGGATAGGAATTTGGGATGATGTAAGTGCAATATGAAGGACCTCTGATGATAAGGACCTACCAAAGTAGGTTTATCAGCTACAACAAAAATACCTCTCTAGTATAGGATGTTGACATGAGGCTGACTGTGTTCCTATGGGACAGAAAATATACACGGGCCCTCTGTGCTTTTCCATTCAGTTTTGCAGAGAACATAAAATTACTCTAAAAAAAAGTCTGCCTTTAAAAATTGTATAAGGTATACAAAAGTAACTTTTAAATTTTTCTTAAAAAATCATTCATAACTTGCTCTGTAGACCAGGCTGGCCTCAGACTCAGAGATCGACCAGCCTCTGCCTCCTGAATGCTGGGATTCAAGAAGTGCACCACCACCACCCAAATCTAAGCTTTTCTTTTATTCCTTTTCACAAGTTGAAAACTTAGCTGGGTGGGATCTTGCCCTGAGGTCACCACATGGTTTATTTCATTTCTTAATCTGTTCATCTTCTTGAACACAGGACTTAGCTGGTGCTCATTTTTTCCCCAAATATTTTCTCTTGCTCAGTTTGCTCCTTTTCATTATAAATCTTCATTAGTGTTAACACTAGTAACCACACAACAGAGTGTATACTAGGTCGTTTTGAGATTTCCTTTGCCAAAGGAGTTAATCCAAAACTCTTCACTTTAACCTTGGGCAAACTTTTTGGACAAGGGCTAAAAGTAGCCAGGTTCTTCACCAAAAAATCACAATAATATTAATATTATTCTCTGAAATGTCTTGATCCAGGCAACCACAATTCATTACATCATACTCAGCAATATACAAAAAAATCAATGATTATTAAACCAGCCATTTAATATATTCCTTCTCATCCACTGATGTCGAAAGTTTGAATAATGATTATATTAAAAACAAAAAAAATCAATCACATTGGTGACACTTGATTACAGTATGCTTGATTGTCAGGATAGGGTCTTCTTCACTTTCTGATGCCTGTTTTCCATGACATGGGGTATAAAGAAAGGGAAGAAACAAATGAAAAAGAAAGGTCGCTGGGCATTGGTGGTGCATGCCTTAAGTCCCAGCACTTGGGAGGCAGAGACAGGTGGATCTCTGTGAGTTTGATACTAGCCCTGGTCTACAGAGTGAGTACTAGGACAGGCTCCAAACCAAAGTTACAGAGAAACTCTGGCTTAAAACAAACAAACAACCAAAAATGTAAGAAAGAGAGATCTGGTTAATAAATAAAAGGGCAATAAAGAGGAATGCTCCCAAAGGGCCATGAGACTTGTTACCAAAGAAGAAAGTAAAGAGGAGGCAGAAAGACTGTAAGACCCAGAGGGTCACGGAGTTTGCTTCTCCCAGGAATCTCAGAAGTTGTCCCATGAAGTCTTATTAACAAGGCTGCCTAAACATGAGCCCAACAAGGAGGACACCAACAGACATGCTAAAGTAAACAGGAAAGCTCACAGGCCTCAACACTGCACACAGAATTTCAGGCAACCAAGGGCTACTGAGAGCAGAAGAAAATGTCTTCCCTAGGGAAGAGCACAGCAATTGGTATCCAATACCAAATGGGCAGTCCTGAAAACATACACACAGGTAATGTTACACAGACTGAGCAGGTTGTATTTCTGTATTTAGGAAAGTGTATGTTTATGTGCAGTCTCTCTCTCCACATAAACAGACAGACACATACACATACATGTACACACACAATGGGGGGCAGGCAGAGAGGCAGAAAGAAGCAGGGGCATAGAAAATGTGAGGTATGTAATGATGGCAATGAAAGTCCATAAATTCAAAAGCCAGAAACAAGGGGTATGTTATAGGGTTTGGAGGAAAAGGGGAAAGGGGGAGATGATATAATTATATTATAATTTCAAAAATAAAAGAAATTACTTTTTAAAAATGAAATAAATTTGAGGAAACTGGCAATATTAGAGAAGGATTCACTGAAATTCTTCCAGCTAATCAATGATCCCATTATATTTTTTGAAGAAGCATAAAAATGTAATAAGAGATGTTGGTCATAATAATTTTTAAAATGCAGCGTAAATTTCAAGAATTGTGTATATAACTAGTTGTTTCATCATTTCCAGGTACTGAAGACACCTACAGGAAAACAGAAGGAAAATGTGACATAGTTATTAATGTCAGTAGTATCATATCTCAGAGAAACAAGTTATCTGCAATGGGCTACTGGCCTGTGAAGATGACAAAATACCAGGAGAACCCTACCTGGTGAGCTACAGGGTGAAGCTAAGCTTAGAAGGGAGAAATGCTTAAGGAAGAGTTTAGTATTTTAGTTCTTAGCTGTGCTCATGGCAGCATAAGCAGATGGGGGCTAAAAAAGTACGGAGTCCTTTTGTTGAATTTGGAATGTGTTTGGATGGAATAATGCCAGTCTTTGATGTCACCAATTTTTGATAAAAGTTTACCAATGCTTACTTTTTACTCCAATTATTTATAAGTATCCAATCTTGCTCATCATTAGGTTTTCTGGGAGATTGACATGCATAATTTGTGTGTGTGTGTGTGTGTGTGTGTGTGTTTGTGTGAGATAATGAGGCTTTCATGGTAAAGCTTTCACTTTTAATCGCTGAGTCATCTTGTAGGTCTGTCCTAGTAAGTGCTCTTCTGAGATTTGGGGACCACTGCTTTCATTCTACTTTTAGAGAAGCTGCCCACACCTGAAAATATCTTTGTGAAAATCATTCGTTGTCACACATAGACAGCCTCAGGAAGTGGGCAAGAAAACAGGACACAAGACCTTTTCCTATTATTTGTGTTTTCTATCATGACTCTCTTTCCTTATATAAGTGAGAACAGAGGGTAGTCGCTCTATGTCTTTCATACAAAAATCTAACACAGATCTTATCCTATCCCCAAAGACAGACTGAACAGGGATCTGCTCCATCCTGATCTCCAATGTATTTAAAATAAAACTCATGTTTTATTTTACTGCATTTTGTTTCATTTTTCCATTTTCTCATTTATAACTTCCGGAAAACTTTTCTCTCCTTTTTTTCCCACTTAAAAGCCTTGTATAATGAAAATCCATCAAGTCTTACCCCAAATGCTTATGCACAACAACACCATTATCAAGTTAGATGACTTACTGGTTTTATACTGTTCTTGCCTTTTTAGTGTTTATCATTCCCTTTTCAACTAACCATAAATTTCTTTAGAATGTAAGGCCTTTTGTGTTATACAACATCCTAAAAACCTATAAGTTTTTTACTTCATAAATGTATTTCTGTGCTCCACTGTCTCTTGTTAGAGGATCACACGATAGAACTAATGCATACCTCTCACTTGTCTGAAATCACTGCAATCTGACAGTTACTTACCTTTTCTTCCAGGTGCAACTCTGAAAGTCGAAGATAAGCCACAGGTGCAAATGCATCAGCAGAGTGTATGACTACTTCTGAGGAGTCCCTGCAATACAGATAATTTAGTGTATTTACCAAATCCATACGTTGTGGCTAAACATTCCTTCTACTGAGAGAAGAGGCCTGAAATCCTCCAATACTAGGAAACACTGATGCTTTTGCATAGAAATGAACTCACAGTTCACAAATATCCAGGTAATAACTTGGTTACCTTCTATACTTAGTACAGATATGTTTTCACTTCAAGCTTATAAAGGTAAAAGCAATTGCCATCAATAGTGATCAGCAGAATTCAATGGAAAAAACAGACACTTGAAAAAATGCAAAATAAATTAGTGATACGGTAATTATCAATGCAAAAGAAGTTAGGAGACCATGAAAGCAAGAGTCACGAATACTGGATTTGGAGATGAAACAGTTTTAGTCTCTTTTTCTCTTCTTTTTCTTTGCTTTTCTTTTTTTCTCCCAGATAGGGTTTCTATGTTTAATGGCTCTGGCTGTCCAGGAACTTGATTTGTAGATCAGGCTAGCCTTAGAGCTCACAGACATCTGCCTGTCTCTGCCTCACAAGTGCTGGGATTAAAGGCATTTACTACCACCACCTGGCCAACAATTTTTGTCTTAATGTTCCAGATTATTCCCTTGTTCATTAACTGTTCAAAGAATTCAAACCTTGTTTGTTTGTTTGTTTTACAGAGACAAGGTTTCTCTGTGTAGTCTTGGGAGTCCTGGGACTCATTCTGTAGACCAGGCTGGCCTCAAACTCACAGAAGTATAAGTTTAGGAGAAACAAAACACAACAAAACAAAACGAATAGAGGAAATGCTCCCCCAACACACAGGAATTGTGGCATAATATAGAGCACAACTAATAAAGTGATGAACTAGACTAAGTTCCCATATTTTTCATTATACTAATTTTTACAATTTATGGCAGGGGTACCACACTACTCACCATAAACTGAATCTGCTTCAAAACAAAGTTTATATGTAAAAATACCTCCCCCTCAAGTAACTGAAGAGAAATGACTAGTCTCATCATTCTAACTTGTTAAAGCCAAGAAAGAGGAAAAAGAGGATGGAGTTAATGGAACCCACAGGCTACTGATGTGGCAGTTTATCAAACGTAGCCGTAATGAAAGATAAATAATACAGGCAATTCACACTTCAGGAAAGGATAAAAGTGTCAGTGTGTAGGCACCAGTTTTACTGCAAGCCGTAATCAGCAAGTAAACGAAAGTGCAATGTCTAAAAAGTTTACAGCCCTCTATGAAGGCCTCGTCTTGTCAGGTATTGATTTAAGTATTCACACAACTTCCTTGGGATTAAACAAATTGAGTGTTTGTGAACTTAAGGGACATGTTTTATTTCTTGCAACCAAACCTGCCTCAAGCTAAATGCTGAGTTGCTTCTATCATTTAAATTTAAGAAAAAGGAAGATGCTGAAATGGTATCTTACAGAATGATTTTCTTCTTAAATAGAGGGCAATCCAAAGTGAAGGTTTCATACTCGCCACCTTCCCCACATACATGGACACCATACTTCTTAGAAAGCTGAGAATCAGGAAAGATGAAGAAAAAGAACAATTAAAATGATATCCTTAAAATACTCATTTAGCAGGTTATCCTCTCCTGAAAACAAATGCAGGATACTGATTATAAAATATATTGTAGGCTACAGAATATTACCTTTGCTTAAGACATGTGTTTAAAGAAGTCATTTGAAAAATGTTTCCATAAAACATTGTAATTATTTCAAACCTTGCTTAAAAGGTAGAGGGAATCAAAACTTTTATTTACAATGAATAAACCTTAAAGATATGATAAATTTTAGCATTGATGCTTGCTTTAGACTCAAAGGCAGGGGAGTTAGCATGAGAACAGATAAGGCCTAACCATATACCTACTGCTCTTTGACTTTGAAGGGGCAAAGATATTATTAGAGAATTTATCAAACAAAGAAACTTATTTTTTCTTAGGCCTATAAACAAATAGAAATCACACACATTATGCTAGAGGATGTTACTTTAAGGAGTATTATAGGGTACTAAAAACCAGTGAACTTCCAAAGCTATAGAAAGTCTTTAAAAAGTTCTGAAGCCTTAATAAGGTTCAGTTTACAAAGTGATTAATCTGAAGTTAAAATAAAACCAAGCAACTAATCCAAAACAAAACAAAAACCTCCCAAACAACAAACAAACAAAACCCCCTGTATTATTTATTTTAACTATAAGCTATTACATGATAACTCTGATATGGAGAGTGAAACCCCTTTGCTGATACACAACGGGCTTCAGTGTTGAGGACACTTACACAGGCTGTCACTGATACTGATCTGCCAGATTCTCTGTTGAAGCTTTGCCATCACAATTCCACAGCTCCCCGATTCAGAGTGGAATAGCTTTTTATGCACATAAGTGCCACAAGTCCAAATTTTTTCAGCTCAGAGGAGAGATCCTTTTTCTTACTGCCAATGACATGGCTGCTTCGTAAGTCTTCAGCTTTCCCTGCTGGTTACAAGCTTATTTGAGAATTTTTGTAGTTGTGCTGCTATTCTGACTGTGTGGCTTCAGTGTAGATCTATGAACATTCTACTCACAGTGAGTCAGAAGTAATGTGAATGGCACTGTATGGTAGTTTGAATGCAACTGGTCCCCATAATCTCATAAAGAGTGGCAATATTAGGAGGTGTGGCTTTCTTGGAGTGGGCATGGCCTTATTGGAGAAGTGTGTCACTGTGGGGGTGGACTTTGAGGTTTCCTATGCTCAGGATAATGCCCAGTGTATCAACTGAATTCCTGTTGCCTGCAAGATGTAGGTCTCTAAGCTACTACTGCAGCAATGCACATTGCCATGCTCCCTGTCATGATGATAATGGACAGAACCTCTGAAACTATAAGCAAGCCACACCAATTAAATGTTATCTTTATAAGAGTTGCTGTGGTCATGGTGTCTCTTTACAGCAATAAAAACCCCAAGGAAGACACACGGAAAAGCCAAACAGCAGGGAGAGTGTGGGAAGGAGAATGGGATAGTATTTTCTATAAGGGTTCCAAAGGGTAAGCTGGATAAACTTTTGCCTAACTTATAAAGCAGAGACTCTGCAAGGCCAAATTAGAAGGGGTGGTCCCTATGGGACCAGATAATAAAATAAGACTGCTTTGTCATACTAAACTAAATTAAATTAATATCTTTTCTGCAATAAAAAACACACAGCAATAACAATGAGATATGGATTTCAGGGTATTTATTTGTTCTGTAATTGGTGTTCTACTGATTTTCCAACAACTTCCCATCATGGACCTTCTAATTTCACCTTTATGACTCATTGGCCAGTCTATGTGGAGATTACATACAATCAATACTTAGTTCTTCTCTACTGGAAAATGCCTCATTGAAAACTCTCTTTTGTTTCTGTAATACAAAGAATAACTGAAGTGTTAAAGTCTGGGTGGCTGTTACACCCTATAGTAGTGATTCTGTTAGTCCTTTGTAAAGTAACATAATCTGCTACATTAATTCAACATTTGCTCTTAAGAGGTATACAATGGCATCTGTATATGCCCTGCAATATCCTTAGCTTCCACAAAATATTATTAATATTTACTTATCCTATCAATCATCTTCTCAACAAATATTTAATTGACCAGCCTTGAGAGAAGAAAAAGATAAAAAAATAAGACAATGTCTTCAGTTCTTGAAATTCATATTGTAGTACCACAAAGTAATGATCAAATAGTGATATTAAGCAATATTTAGAACCTACTTTCCTCTTCTATTATTAATTTACCAATATGGAAATATAGGTTTCCAGTCATGAAATTTGGATAAAAGCCCCAATGGTTTCTAAGGCTGACAAATCAATAAGCATTCTTACTGAATCCTGGTATTTCTGTTGCTTCCCTAAGCTCAATTAGCTTTATGCTTAACATAAGCGAGTGAGTCACAAATGTCAGCTGTATGGTTCTTGGTAACGTGGTAGCATTGTCTTCAGCGATATCTACTTTGTTCAGTGAATTGGTACTCTATAAAACACAAGACTCTTGGAATATAAAAGCAAGAAATATGCATAGCACAGAAAATGTCACTTTCCTTAAGTTTCCCTAAGTTTAGGAACCAAAAGTATATATTCCAGAGAAATGTTCAGGCACTATACCTTTAATTTATATTTCTAAGACTTGTTAATCATGTTTACACTGTTCTCAGTAAGTCCTCTCAGTCTGGCTGTTTCTTTCTTTCTTTTTTTCTTTTTTGTTTTATTTGAGTTACAAACACAATTGAAGTACACAATTAAAACTGGGATTATCATATACTCTACTTAATTCCTCCTTGATAAGATTCTGTCAGCATTATTGTAAGGGAAACACCAAATGATTTCTTTCTTTATGTTAGCTTCATGTGGAAATTTGGTTACTCTTTTCCATCTCTTTTTAGATTTACTTTTTCTTTTCCTTTACATTCTTTCAAATTCAATATGGATAAAACAATGTTCTTAGCTCCCTATATACCCCAATTCTCTAGCTACAACAATGCAAAAGAGACTTGAAATACTAATGTAGAGCTTAACTCTCTGCTTTTGTTCCACACGCAGGTTAATTTTCTAAAGTTCATGAATTCATTTACTGAGTCAACAGCTCTTGTTCAAAACTTTGTAGCTGCAGATTTTATTACTTACACTAGAAGTATGGCCGTGAACAATGACGAGAATGTGTGGCCGGAACAAGGTACAGAATAAAATACATCTTCCATTTGAAGGCCCCTATGGTCACTTTGCACTTCAACTCTCAAAACCCAGCTCCTCTCTTGCTTCCTATATTTACCTTCCCAATTTCTCCCAGCATGTTACAACCTTGCTAATTTTCCTTAATACTATATGTACAGTATTCTTCAGCTAAAAAACCTTAGGTGGCAAATCATTTCCTTCTCGGTAAAACTGAACTATTTCAGGCATAACCAAAGGCTTCCAGCATTCCGTCCATCCTACACATGAATATGTAGGCATTAGAATGATTAGCAGATTTGGAAAGACCCTGATTGACTTGAGAAAATTAAAAGGATAATTTTGTAAAATAAAATTTGAAGTGATGATCATAAGCCCAAATTGAGTTTCTTTCTCTTCAACATAGACAATCAGTCTTAATAGGCTACAGTACCTTATCTGCTCTGAAACTCATTTCTGTATTTCAATTCTGTGTTATGTCTGGAATGTAGAATTTTTTTATGCATGGCTTTTTATGCCACCTGACTTTATGTTTTTCCATTTCCTGGACACTTGCACTGAACATTATATCACACATAGTATTCAACAATCAACTGCCCTCCTGCTATGGTTCAAATATGAGCATGCCCCATAAGAAAAGCCTGACTGGCATGCACTGACAATTTCAATTTGAACCAGAAACAAACTGCCCCTGTCTACCAAGGATAAGAAAGAGAAGTTACTGATGTCTTTCATTCTGTCTAGGGAAGAGGATACACATTTTCCATTTTTGGAGATCTAATACAGGGAATAAACAATATTCTTCTTATTAGCCATTGAATGGGTGATGCCACTATTTTTCTCCTTCTTCACATTTAATCATTTGGGGAGTTAATACAGTAAATTATAGAGATCAGATGGCCAGTGGGTAATATGAACACGTTTGCTATTTGTCTGTATTTTGCTTGGTGAGGAAATAAGTTTCTATTCTGTAAACAGATTGCTTTTATTAAGAAGTAACTTTTACATGTGTATTAACATAATTTTCATTGCATAAAAGCATGTTTAATGTTTCATAGATATCTAAATCATACTCTCCTGTAGGTAACTTTTGGGCAGAGGAGAATATTAGTTTGCCATATAATTATTATTAGAGTAAGCTTTTGAAAAACTGTTGGAGCAGATGTGGTTGATTTGAGCCATTCATGGCTTATAGAAATACTTTGGAATCTCAGCATTTTAAAAGTGAATTCCCAGCATATGAAAAGGGAATGACTTACATGAATTTGTTTTGGGGGACTGTCTACTTAATATGCATATTCACAATAATCTTAGTTGTAGATGGATAATTACAGAACTAAAGTAAGGAGTTCATAATCTCCATGTTTGAATTTTTAACCCTTAACAGATAGTATTAGCATTAACTGTAAAATTTTCTTATTAAATCATGATACTTTGTTTTAAAATAAATCTCACTTATCTGCTATTCATTCTAAAACCAAAGATGGGGGGAGACAAAGCAAACAGACTTCTCATATACTCTTACCTAGAAAAGTTCATGGGATTTATACAAATCACTACAATTTTATTTTATAAATGGTGTTCTTTTTTTATTTGAATTACAAACAAGATTGAATTACATGACAATCCCAGTTCCCTTCTCCCTCCCTTTCTCCCCTACCACCCCCACAACTAAAACCCTGCTTATCACCTATCCTTTCTTCTAATCTACACCTGACTCAACCTTTCTGCTCCCTCATGACCTCTGCATCCTTCCTTTTCTTCCCTTCTCATTCTTGTAGTTCCCTTCCCCCTCTTCCCATGTTCTCAATTTGCTCAGGGGATGGTGACCCTT